CAGCTACACATTTTCTCTGTCATCTTACTTTCTCCTCTTCTTTTCCCGTCTCTTTCTGGTAATCATTCTTTCCTCATTCCTTTTTCTCCATTTTCTTTGTCCTTCTCTTTTTCATCATTATATTTCGCGTTTCTTCTTCTTCACACCATCATTATTATCGCCATCACCATCGTCGTCACCCTCGGCCATCACCCATCATTCAAAATCGTAATCACCATCATCACTATCGCCATCACCATCATCACTATCAGCATCACCACATATCACGCATCGTCATATCTGCACTATCACATCGCAATCACTATCATCACCATCGCGGATCAGCCATCCCATCACCAGATGCCATCCACTATCATTCACCATCACCTTCATCGCCATCACCAACACAACGCGAATCACCATCATTACCATCATCATCACCTTATTCATCATCACCATTGTCATCACTATCCACCTTTTAGTCACCATCGATCACCATCGCCATCGACTTCCGTCACCACCATCACAGTCGTTGTCAGCATCGCGCATCACATCATAGTCACCATCCCTAGTCACCTTCGTCACCATTACCAGTCATCGATTAGCTGATCCGTTTCTCTTTTCTTGTCTTCCAACATACGATCCTTATCGATCTTATTATTCAATCATCTTTTTTTTTTTATTCTATGGATAACAATCATCCAGGATCCTCCGTTTCTCTTTTCTATGATAAAATAAAATCATCATCCTCGTTTCGCCTCGTCCTCCTCTCCTCCTCCTCGTTCCTCCTTCCTCCTCCTCCCGCGCCTCATCTCATCCGTCCTCCTCCTCCATCCTCCTCCTCCTCTCTTCTTCTCTCCTCCTTTTTCTCGCCTCCTCCGCCTGTCTTCTTCTCTCCTGTTTTCTCCTGTTGTTCCTCATCCTGTTCCTTCTCTTCCGCTTGGTCTTTCTCTCCTTCCCCCTCCCTTTATTCTCCCTTTTTTCCTTACTCTCCTTACTTCCTCTTCTTCCTTCTACTTTCCTTCTTTATGTTTCTCCTCCACCTCTTCTTTTCCTGCAGTCTCTTCCTTCTCCTTTTCCACTTCCTCACCTTTCTACTATTCCTACTTCACTTCCTCCTCCTCCTGTTTCTGTTCCTCTTCCTTTCCCTTTCCTCCTCCTCCTCATTCTCCTCACCTCCCCCTTCTTCCTCCTCCTCCTCCTCCTCCTCCTTCCCTTCCTCCTCCTCCTCCTCCTTCCTTCCCTTCCTCCTCCTCCTCCTCCTCCTCCTCCTCCTCCTCCTTCCCTTCCTCCTTCCTTCCCTTCGCTACTTCTTCTACTTCACTTCCTCCTCCTCCTTTTCCTCTTCCTCTTCCTTTCCTTTCCCCTCCTTTCCTCACCCTCCCATCCTCCCTTTCCCATCCCTCCTCCCCTCCTCCTCCCCCTTCCCTTCCTCCTCTCCTCGCTTCTCTCCCTCCTCCCTCTTTTCCTCCTCCTCCTCCCCCTCTCCTCCTGTTTCTATTTTTCCTCCTGCCCTGTTCCTCCATCTTCCGCTTAGTCTTTCTCTCTTTCCCCTCCCTTATTCTCCTTTTTTCCTATTACTCCCCTTACTCCCCTTACCTTCCTCTTCTTCCTTCTACTTTCCTTCTTTATGCTTCTCCCCCATATATTCTTTTCCTGCAGTCTTCCTTCTCTCTTTCCTTCTTCATGCTTTTCTTCCTCCTATTTTTTTCCTGCATTCTCTTCCTTCTCCTTTTCCCTTCCTCACCTTTCTACTCCTTCACTTCACTTCCTCCTTCTCTTCCTTCCTTCTCTTCCTTTCCTCTTCCTCTTCTTCTTCTTCTTCTTCTTCTTCTTCTTCTTCTTCTTCTTCCTCTTCTTCTTCTTTTCTTCTTCTCTTCTTCTTCTTCTTCTTCTTCCTCTTCTCTTCCTCTTCTTCCTCTTCTCTTCTTCTTCCTCTTCCTCTTCCTCTTCTTTTCTTTCTTTTTTCTTTTTTTCTTTTCTTTTATTTTCTTTTCTTTTTCTTTCTTTTCTTCTTCTTTTCTTTTCTTTTCTTTTGCTTTTCTTTGCTTTCTTTTGCTTCTTCTTTTGCTTCTTCTTTTGCTTCTTTTTTTCTTCTTCTTCTTCTTCTTCTTCTTCTTCTTCTTCTTCTTCTTCTTCTTCTTCTTCTTCTTCTTCTTCTTCTTCTTCTTCTTCTTCTTCTTCTTCTTTCTTTTTTTCTTTCTTTCTTTTCTTCTCTTTTTCTTTTTCTTTTTCTTTTTTCTTTTTTCTTCTTCTTTTTCTTTTTTTCTTCTTCTTCTTCTTCTTCTTCTTTCTTCTTTCTTTCTTCTTGCTTCTTTTTCTTCTTCTTCTTTCTTTTCTTCTTTTCTCTTCTTTCTTCTTTTTCTTCTTTTCTTCTTCTTCTTCTTCTTCTTCTTCTTCTTCTTCTTCTTTTCTTTCTTCTTCTTCTTCTTCTTCTTCTTCTCTTCTTCTTTCTTCTTCTTCTTCTTCTTCTTCTTCTTCTGCTGCTGCTTCTTCTTCTTCTTCTTTTTTTCTTCTTTTTCTTCTTCTTTTCTTCTTCTTTTCTTCTTCTTTTTTTTCTTCTTCTTCTTCTTCTTCTTCTCTCTTCTTCTTCTTTCTTCTTCACCTCCTCTTCCTCTTGCTTTTCCTTCCCCCTCAGCAGTGCCCTAACTACAGATACGTACACCTCCACTTCCCCCTCGGCAAAATTCTAAGCCTCTGTTTCCCCCTTAGCCTGGTGGAGCCCAACGAGCTGGAAGTGGGCGGAGCTATCATGGCTGCAATGATGGGAATCGGGATGGTGGTCGGTTCCCTTCTCTCGCCTGCGTTTGTCGCGCTCTGGGGTCCTGTGTGAAGTCTGTGATTAGTATGCTTTTGTAAACTATGTGATATATTTATGCTAACTTCTGACATGGACCAAGATACTTAATGACTTTTTTTTAAAGATATACTTTTTTCTTCCCTTTTTTTAGATCAGATTTTTCATTTTCTTGGATGTACCTGAAGTTTTTGTGTGCCTGTGTGCTGGTATAATTTTGTGAGTACTTTGGTGTCCTTGTTTTCTAAATGTGATGTGAAGAGTGGTGCAAGAAAGGTTCATATGGAATAAATAACAAGCATAATAATAATAATATAACAATTTCTTAATAATATATCTAATGGCAAACATTTCACTATTATCTGTCTATATTATTCACAGTGTGGATATTTATTTATTATCCATTCAGTTGCCTTTATACTTACTAATGTCCAGTCTCCTTTTTGATTCCTCTTTTAAATTTAAAAACTGGATGAATGTGAATAATGGCAGTTTATTTACCTCTAAGGATTCATCATTAATTAGTCCACTATCACTTGTTCTTCAAATTATTTTTATCTCAATGTATTTTATGTAAATAATCTTTTTGGAATCATTAAATAATGAATTTCCTTAATCTTACTCTATATTTAATACTTTTCCCTAGTGTACACTTAAGGATGGAATGAAATGTACTGAAACAAAAACTTCATATTCAGTATTTATTGTATTTTTACATAAAAATACACAAATATAGAGATTTCTAATAGTTCATATTCTGTACATGAAAAGGTATTTTACTTACACTAATATTTTGGGTTCACATACAACTGGTCATTCATTCTTCATGTCAATTACGATCTCAGTTTAACAAAATGTACAAAGGGTAAGAATGTAAGACGCATGACCTGCATTCTCATTAACAAAACCTATCTTGGTCATGAACAATGTAATGGTAACAGGACCAAAAAAAAACACTGCAATATATAGTCTTTGAATTCTCCCTCAATACCAATTTTTCTAGGTCTCGAGAGCAGCCCCTTCCCTTTGGATCATGCAATGATAAACCATACTATTATTCACTGTCATAGGTTTTACAAGGCTATAGTTTTTTATTTTTGCTTTTGTTTTTGTAATGGAAAAATAGATCCCTTCAAAATGAAGCTATTATAATCCACATGCATTTGCTCAAAACTGAGAGAGTCCAAAAGCCTTTCAAAAAATGTGGAAATTGCAAATTGAATGCAAATATTGCAATTAAAGTAGTTGTACTTAGGTGTTCAAAGAACTGCTTTATGAATAGTCTCTCTTCTAATTAAAAGCTAACTACGAAGAAGGCGGGTAGTAAGGTCTTGAGCTGGAATGTGGGTAGGAGCTGGGAGGAGGGTAGTTGGAGGAAGGGCCCGCTGGGGCATAGTTCGGGGGAGGGTTGTTAGTTGATGGGGGTGGGGGATAGTAGGAAGAGGACGTTGAGCCATGGGGAGGCGGCGCATAGTGCGAGGGGGGAGGCTGGTTAGTAGGGGGAGCAGGGTAGTGTCCTGCTGCACCTGGCTGGTGGTATGTTGAGGGTGGGTGGCTGCCTGATGAATAGTGTGAAGGTGGGGGCTGTGTCGCATAGTGTGGGGGTGGTGCCTGGGGTGTTGTGACTGCAGGTGGCGGGTAGTGCCTCTGCTGGTTGGGGTAAGTTGGAGGGGGTGCCTGTGGAGGTGGGGCCTGTGGAGGAGGACCCTGTGTGGTGGAGGGTGGGTATGGGTATGGGTAGCGCGGTGTGGGTGTTGTAGGTGTCCCTTGCGTTGAGGTCTGCGAAGAATAGGGTGCCTGAGGGTAGTTTTGGTACGCATATGGGTACTGGTATGGCTGCGGCTGTGGCGTGCTCTCTGTCTTCACTGGCGATGACTTCACCTCCTCCTTCTTGGCCTTCTTCGCTGGCGGGGGTGCAGTGCTGCTGCTCTGTGTGGGTGTTACAGGGCGTCTTGGGGCCACAGAGGGCATGGTGATAGAGGGCTCACTGCTTGCACCACCTGCCTCTGAGCGGTTGGGTGAGTACAGGTCCAGTACCTGATGACATATATCTGCAAAGAAAATTTTTAAAAATTAATCACACACAAAAGAGTGGGCAACATCTCATCTCAATCCCATACATATAGATGGAACACATGAATTGAACACCTTAACTTAAAAAAAAAAAAAAAAAAAAAAACAGCATTTTTAGAAGCACTCCTCAGAAAAGTAAATCAATCTTCATCTTGCTCATAATACACTGTTTATATCCAAACTAGACAAAAATAAAAGATTTATGGCCAGTTTCTTAAAACTGTGGGAGGCCCAACCCAATAAAAATTAATTTATATGGATATGCATATTCACAGAAATAAATGCATATATGTCAATCTATCTAATAGATATACATGTTTATGTAGTAGATACACATCTAGATTAATAAATATGAAAAAGGTAAAAATTGGTGGATACATAGTGTATTTGAGTTTTTTGCTAGTTTTACAGCTCGAGGAGAGCTTCCATCATTGGTGACTCCTCAGGGTAAGACCCACTGGTGTCATAGGTACATATTTTCCATTTTAGGTACCTATTTTCCATTTCAGAGACCTTAGATCACACCTATATAATCCTTATACATGCCCATAATGGTACGCGGTCTTTGTCTATTGATCAGAAATTGCTATGATCAAACTTTGTTTTGAAACATTTCAGAATGGAAAACATTAAAGAATTTGAATTGAACACAAAATTTACTACATAAGGTCACAAAGGTTTCATGAAGAAACAAGGTATATGAGAAGGTTGGTATATGAGAAGAAAGTTACTTTTACAAGACTAAAAAGCTTTGTGATACAGAGATGGAATTGCTGAGTATTTATGAAACATAAAGACATTAGAATATAAATAATAACGGGGTTGATACATTGTAATTCACAATAAGCATTTTCAAAAGAACATTTTGAGTATAAACAAGATAATTATACATAAATACAACAAAATAACAATATGCCAAAAGTCTGCAACCAATAAAGGGAGGCCCAGCCCACAAGCCACACTCCTGTTATAGTGACCTAATGTGCCCAATATCATTTTAAAAGGCCCTCCAAAAGAAATAATACAAAAAATAAAAATAAAAACATGTAAATAAACAAAAGCAACAGCAAAAACAACCCTCATCCTGTAAGTACCTTCCAGCAGCTCCATGGAGATTCCTTCGACATACATATCCCACCAGCGCTGGTGTTTGGGGATGCGGCCTACCCAGTCTGTCACATCAAACTTGCTCAGCTTCCCCGCCAGGTACATGAGAGCAATTGCTATGATTTCTGGTTCCCACTGAAGGCATAGGGTGGTACACAGGCTGAAAAGCAGTTAATGTTAATGATAATGATGATGATGACATTGACAGTAACAATGATGATGAAAATAATAACAACCAAAATCACAATGAGTTTTCAAAGGCAAATTGTTAAAAAAAAAGGTAGATTTCCACCAAAAGAAAACAGATTCAACAGCCACATGCTAAAAATTTCAAAATAAACATTCACAGAGGATATAGATTTCTTTGCATTTCCTGCTGGTTACCTTGAAGTGAATAACTTTGTGGGAATACAATAAGAAAACCCATAATACATCAATTGACATTTTACTCCTGGAATCCATAAAAACTGAGAGGCAAAAAATTGGGACTCAAAAGAGTTCAAGACTCTGACAAATATATTGGACAAGTCTGAAACCTCCTGAAAAAAGATGACCATGGTACCAGATCATTCACAACAGTTTCCACTCGAACCACTAATTCAAGTCCCCTCTCTGTCCTGGTCAGCAAGAAGCACTAGGGGACATTGACCATCTGGTTTCAAACCTATGACACTATCAGTAAAGCAAGAGAGACCTTCATAACATAGGAAAATGATATAGAGATGTACCCATCTGATACTGCTAGACCACTCAGAGAGGACTACTTTGATTTGCAAGAGTTTGCAATGAAGATGTTAAAACTATAAAAGATAAAGCTGTAATATAATTACAAAAAGTTACAAAGGGCTTATTAAAATTTGTAAAAATAAGAATGCATACATACATAAAAACAGACAATTTTAACTCCAATGCATTTACATTTGAATCACCATTATTACTATCACCATTCTCTAAGTACTATGCCTAAACCCTTACAATCAGGGAGACAAGACTATCCCATCATGAAAAATCTGGGTAGAGGACTGGGTGACATGAACATGCCATCATCATACAAAATGGCCGCGGGCTAAGTTCATGCTGGCATGAACAAAGGCCTGGATGATGGAAAAGACTCGCCACAAGTGCACAAACCACTTGGAGTGTGATTAGACAGATTTGGCACTTAGAAGGGGGGCTTTTGCATTACTGCCCTTGTTAAACGAATGTGGATTGTTATGTGCGTAAGCCATAGCTAGAAGAGCACCGGCTCTAGGGAGGATGCCGTTTCCATGCTCAGCATCATATTCCTGGCCGCTGTAACCGGCTGCGCAGGTTGTACAACAGAAAAATAAAAATTACGAAAAAATAAGATGCCACAAATAATCAAATGTTACATTTTTTTCTTGCACTGACTACTTACTACATAGGATACTGATATGAAGTCTGTGGTAGGAAAATAATCTATTACCATCTGGATAAAGCAAATTAAAAGACAAATAAATAAAACAAAAAATGCAGTCATACCTGTCATTCACAAATGTCCATGCCATTTGTACCATGTTAGGTAGTCTCTTTTTGTCACCTGCAAGAAAAGACTTGATTATAATCCTTAACTCTTTTAACCCATTAAAAAAATAGATTGAAGCCGAAAATAAAAGATTCGGGCGGCCTAATACAAAAATCGGTGCGGCTACAAAACTAGGCAACCAGCTCTGAGAAAACTTAACTGTTAAATCTTCTAACCATCAATTCACATTCTACCTTGCCCCCTCTACACTGTCTTTTAATCTAGGCAAAGAGGCCTTAGAGAAGTTGGTGGTGACAGATGACAGAGTGATAGATTAAGGGTGAATATTATTTGATGACGGACAAGTTGGTAGTGACAATTCCTTGAAATATAGCAATATTATTTGGATAATTATTACTAATGTCTCGAGTGCACTTTTATCTTGGGAAGAATAGAAAAGAAAAATAATGGAGTAGTGGTTGTCCCTGCCTTCATATCCTCTCTAGCATCTTCAATCAGATGTTTACAAATCCCTCCTGAATTAAAAGAAAAAATGAAAAAGTAATTATGTTTCCAACACATTCATTTACATGGCAACATTTATTGGGAAAATCACAAATACTATTAGAACAATTCCTATTTTATACCACTGTGTTTAGTAGCACTGAGATGGAGGGATGACATCATGACAGGCTAATGGCATGACAGATGAATGGCAGTGGTCATATGGTAAAGGGATGGCAGGGTGATGGCGTGATAGAAGAATGGCAAAGAATGTGAATAAGGAGGAGGATGACTAAGAAGAAAAGGAGAAAGCATAAGAGCAAGAATAGTAAGAAAAGGAAGAAAAAGGGGGAGCATGAGGAGGAACCTGAGAAGGACAGCAAAGCAAAGAAAACTCACCTTTAAGGCACTTGGCATATTTGAGGAGGTAGGTGTATGGATGTTCCACAATGAAGTCAAATTTGATTGTCTGCAGCAAAATTCTTTCAAGAGTCATTACCTGAAATACATTAACATTGTAAGATATTTGAAGCACAACATTTATTAGAAGGTTTTAATACTGTAATTAACAACTGATATCAAAAAGAAAAACTAGGAATTAGAATCAAAGTAAATAAAATTTCAAAAGAGCCTATCAATATGTTTCATTAACTGTTAGATGCAGGGAAATTAGTACACTATAATTTCACTTAAAATAACAGGTAATACATGCTAATTTTGAAATAAAGCTACCAAACAAAATATAAATATTAGTAACAAAAAAAAGATCAAAACACTTTCAATAACTATTCACTTAATCTGAATTTGTGGGTTTGGATTAACATATATAACATAAAAATTATAACACATTAAAAGCATGTATATATCAGATACATGGAATATATATATATATATATATATATATATATATATATATATATATATTATATATATATATATATATATATATATATATATATATATATCAGATACATGGAATAAACTCTTTTTCAAATATAGTCAGACTACTTACTTCTTCACGAGGATCAGCTCCAAATTCAGCCCACGTCGTATCATCAATAAGGCTCCTTGCAGTTTTCATGATATCACGGCACTTTTTTGGTGTTTCTTCCACCTTCCCAGCTAGGAAAAGGCAACAACATGCAGTAACCTGGAAAAAAAGTAGTTATCAAAATCACTGAAGACTGAGAGCATGCTTAGAGATAATGGTATTTTGCAAAGGAAAATCTGCTTTGAAGCAACCAATTTAATGTCAACAAAATGTAACTGACTTTATTAGTCTTTTATGCAAGTACGGGGTAATAGCCTACACCACAAATTCTAAAAATATTCATTTTTGTGAGCATGAAAACATTTTTTCCTGTCTGCACACTCTGACATATTAGGCAAAAAGGAGTTATCATCCTTTAGTAAAACAAATCTAATACTATATTATCTGCAAGGTGTAATTCATGCATATCACTTAGTCTGAAATTGAAACATCATTTACATCTTTTACAAATAAACTTATTTTCTTTCCCTTGCATCTTTTCAACATCAGTTTCAGACAATGTTTACAGGAACTGAAGTATCATGAATTTAGTGAACTCACTCAGAATAGTACTGTTTCTCTACTGCTTATATTATAAAGCTATGACCTTATACATTGACAATTTCACATAAGACCTCTAGAATATTTGATGTACTCGGGTACAAATTCTGAAGAAAAAAAATTTAATTACACCAAACACTTCTGTAGTGCATCTTTCATATAAAAATACATGTGCAAGAACAAAAACAGAACTTAAATGCACACATCCAAACACCTAACCTCATACACAAACAAAGTCTTACATGTCTGGGAAAGGTCTGGAAGGTGTGGACCATGTAGAAGCGGTGGAAGTAGACAACGCCCGTGGCCATGGTCTCATAACGAAGCCCCATCTTATTCCCAACCTGCAGGATGAAACGCGCTCCTTCCCGACGGTACTGTGTCTCCTGATCCATGGTGAGGCCTGCTTGAATGCTGGGCGTATGCCGCAGCTCCCGCTTTTCATAGTACCAGCCGGACCTCTGGGGTAGAAAAGGAAGAATAATACTGTAGTGGTTGATTTTAAAAATCTACAGTTTCGACATGCACTGACCCATTTTTTCATTTCATTCAAAATCACAGAGAAGAGCAGCTATAGCTAATGTATGAATCTTATCAGGGGTTTCATTTAGTGGTCCATCGTGAAGTGCACAATACACAAAACACAAATCTGGATCCCCTTGGAATCTAGATGTGAATACTAAGACACCAGTATCCCAATCTATGCACAATTTTTCCTCACAAAGTTTGAGATCTTTCACCATTATTGTTTCATAGAAAAGTCAAACACATTGCTGGCCTGTTAACCCCACATCCCCTGGCAAGTACTACGTGTCAGGAAGAATCACACCCTGTAGGTATATTAACCTGATGCTGCCTGGGAATGCATGTACATACATGCCATGCCCACTGTGAGTTTAATTTAAATTGTCTCTACACACAGATGGCTCCACAAGTACTAAGTCACTAATGAGCCAATTACAAGCACTACCTATCTAACTTGTTTAACCTTTTCCTTGATTTCAAGAAATATTTTCTGCTAAAGTAACAGCACCAATATTGACAGCAACAGTAAAAAAAATCTTACCCACAAACTCATGGAAAGATGAAATCAGAAGTCACAAGGTCTACTAATTCTTTTCTTCAATTTCAAGAAATATTTTCAGCTATTTTATATTGCTGTTAGTAATGCCAATATCACTAATATCAATTATAATGTCTATAATAATTATGTCAATAATTAAAATAACAGCACCAGTATTGACAGCAATAGTAAAAAAAAAAAAAAAAAAAAAAAAAAAAAAAAAAAAAAAAAAAAAATTACCCACAAACTCATGGACAGATAAAATCAGGAGAAGTCACAAGGTCTACTAATTGACTCCTTTGTGGCTAAGCACTTGTGCAGAAACATTTCACAAACCAATACTACAGAGAAAACTAAATTTTCCTGGCAATAGTGGGATAAACTACAAATAGCACAACAGCGAACCCCAAATTATATTGGAAAAAATATACTTAATAAGAATTCTCAACCTCACAAAGGTTTTAAATTATGAATAATATATCTTCATTGTATAAATAAAGATGACACATCAATGTACTCACACACATTTACAAATAAAGCTGATATTGTTATTGAGATTTGTAGGCATTAAAATGTAGAAAATAATGGAAAACTGCATTCACTGATATATCAAGTAATCTGCACAAACAAAAAAAATAATAATAACAATAATAATAAGTCAGAGATAAAGAAAATGTGACAACAAATGCCACATGTAGTCTAAGTCCATGGGAAGGGGGGCACTCTTCTCAGGGGTCAGAGCTCCCCGGCTAAGGTGATACGGCAATCAGGTGGAAGAAAAAAGGGACTTCTCCCCAGAGCTACTAAGGTTTTGAGTTCCCAGGAGTGCCTTAAACTTAATGACTTGAGCAAGAAGGACTTAATTTCAGGTGTGTGTGGTCACTTTGTAAACAACTGCCAAGATCATATTTTCTTATTTCAATATTTCCATTACTATGGATATTTCTGTTACTGGAGGCAAATGATCTATTTTTCATTTACTCACTATTCTAACCATTCTATATACATCTCAATAATTAAAAACTAATATACAAATGAATGAAGAACTTAATATATAAATAAAAAATTGCGCAAAAATATACCTCAAAAATAATGCATAACCCTTAATGTATGACCTATCATGACAATTTTATTATCAATGGATTCTTTTCACTCTCTACAGTCCATATATCAAAATTATGCTGGGGAAACCCGCCATTCGCAACAATCTTGGACCCGATAGCAGGGGAGGGCATGAAATGTACCACAGCAATTGTGGCTAAAATAAGAATAATATACACAGAATCAGTCACTATATTGTTTAATGCAGGGGGTTGTTCCCCCTGCTACCTCCCTCCTGGGGGGCTTCTGCCGCCATCCTTCAAAATTTAAGAAAAGATTCCTTCACATATTCACTGCATGGTAGACCGGTTGTAGCAACTATTATGAATGGGCTGCAAACTGCGAGCAAAGGCCATTAATGGTGTAAACAACAGCGATAGTTTATCATCAAAATATTAGAGCTGTGAGCAAAGATCTACAGGCAGCAAATGGCAAGCAACCTGTTTTTGTTTTTTTTATTTGTCATGGCTATTCCAGCATATCTTTTGTTGGAATTCAAATACCTGCACGAAAGAAAATTGGATACGAGCAAAAATGATCATAGCTGTGACTCTAAAGTATTAAAGATCAGTGTCACTTCAAGGATTTGCGCGTTTTCCAACCTGGAAGGTAGAGCATACAGCTGACATGCATGCCCGATGCCAAGTCTGTCCAATGCTTTCTCCTGCCGTGAATACATGGAGGATTCTTTATTTTCCGGGGCAGGGGTTGGGGGATGGTTATCCCCCATGGAGGGGTTAAAGGCTGTGCCCCTCATGAGACAATATATTGATTTTATTCTGAGTATATTATTCTTATTTCGCCCCACAATGTCCATGGTGCCTGCTATCGGGGCCAAGGATGCTGGGTTTGGAGGGTTCCGCGGCACAGTTCCTATACCCATGTGTACTAGAGGGCGAGAGGGTCCAAAGTCGTCAAGATCGGTTATGCGATTCTATTGTGTATAATTACCATTGATAATGTGACTTATCAAACCCTCTAATTCAATAAACGTGAAATGTGTAAATAATAAAATCAAAACACGGGAATCACGAATATTTCCAACTCATGGGAAACGGTTCGCTATTTTTTGGTTTATTCTTCTGAAAGTACACTAAAAACCGTGACTTTTATAGACTAGAATGATAATCAAACTTTTCATGAATAAAACTGCAAAAGCTTAGGCTCTAAAAATGGGTATTACCTTCGTCATATTGAAGGAAATGAGAAAATTCTCTTCCGTCAGATGTTGATTTGTTGTCTTATCCTTCGAGACTACAAGCCTAAAAGAAGAAACATTACTGTTTACTTCTTATACTTTTATTAAGTTGTTTTAATTATATCCAAGTTACATTTTTATTAGGCGAGTTGATTCTGTTTATCTAATAATTTTCGTGAGACATATTTGATTTGATGATATTCAATTTAGATTTCTGTTTAGGTTTGTTTTCCTACAGAGGTTGGTGTGATTTTCAGATGGAGAAATTGTTCTTTAATCAATTCATGTTTATCACTCTATACGTCTGTTTATCAATCTGCCTGTCTATACATTCTGTTTGTCTGTCTATCTATCGATACAGACACAAAATGATTGTGTTGTGTGCAGGGAACAGATTGAGGGGGGATGGGGATGGTGGTTCACTGCCCCCCCCCCCCCCCGCCAACTTTCATTTATATAGATCCGGTTATCATAGCCCCTAGAATTGCTAATTTCTTTAAAGTTTTAGTAACTTCCCTCGCTTACCCACTCTTACCCCAGAAGAAAAAGCTGAAATTACACCCCTGGCTGTGTGTGTATATGTATAAATGTATAGATTTGGATGAATAAAGATTCTCTTTATTCACATATATACATATATACATGCATATATATACATATATATATTTATATATTATATATATTATATATATTATATATATATATATATATATATATATATATATATATATATATACATATATATATATATAATATATATATATATATATATATATTATATATATTATATATATACATATATATATAATATATACATACATACATGTACATATATATATATATATATATATATATATATATATATATATATATATATATATATATATATATATATATACACACCACCAGTTTGTTATTATAGGAAATGTGTATGTATGCGCATGACATATCTATGTGTATATCTGTGTACATGTTATTGTATTTACGTATATGTACATATGTGCCTGCATGTCAATAATCCCGTATAGGACTATGTTACATGCGTACAAGAATTCTGGGTATATTCATATATATGTGTACCTTTGTACTTGCCAGTGCAGGAGAAAACTATACAATAAGAATAAATCTAGGAAAAATAAACTACCATTGTTTGATTTTTTTTGTATTTTATTTCTTATTAACAACACAGGTTTTGCTTTTAAAGAAGTTTTTTTTTTATCTTTCTGTCTTTTTATATCTCTTTAAAAAAACATTTTTGTCTTATACATTTCGTAATTTATTTCATCCAACTTGTACTTTCGTGTATTCTTAAATTCGATTTAATTCTTTTATGTTTTTTCCTCTTTTATTGTAAATATTGGTTACTCTTTATTCAATTTATTTTCTATCATCATTATCAATATGATTATCATTTTCATCATGTTATCCTTATCATCATGGTAATATAATAATGACAGTCATCATCATCACCATCATTACTACTATCATTATTACCATTATTAATCATCATATAATTTAACATTCTTATGCGCTGAAATTCATAACGTAAATACCAACAAGCAGTCACCAGGAAAAGCTTTTATGATTATCGCAAAACTTTATTCTTTTTCACAACAAAAAGTACCTTTTCACGTACTGTTGAGATGAGAAAAGAGAGAAAGAGAGAGGAAAGGAGAGGAGAGAGAACAAGGGGGGGGGGAGGGGGGGGGGGAAGGGGGGAGAAAGGGAGAGAGGGATAAAAGGAAGGAAGGGGGGGGCGGGGGGGGGAGGAGGGGAAGAGGGGGGGAAAAAAACTTACTCCGCCCGTAGTGCGCGGAAGGAAGAAATGACTAGGGGATGTAAGGACAAACAACCTGTCAGAAGTCACGGCGAGGAGGAAGGCCCTGGAGAGAAGATTGAGGAGGAATTGTGGGTGTCTTGTTTTAGAAACAGATGTGAGGCGAGAGGGAAAGGTAGCGGGGAGATTATGAGACAGAGAGAGAATCTTAAATGATGAAACTATGCGCACATGTTATAAATGGCTGAATCGATTAATTAAACATAAAGGCAAGTCAAAAATATGAATATTGAATAGAGACGAGAGAGAGAGAGAGAAGAGAGAGACGAAGAGAGAGACAGAGAAGAAGAGAAGATGGGGAGAAGGAGGGATGAGAGGAGGAGAAGAGGGAGAGTTGTTCGTGCAAGCCGTGAGAGCTGATGACACCAGTACTCTTGCCACCTAGACCACTAAGATGTAACGTAGCCGAATAAAGGAAAGGATCTTAAATGATTCTGACTAATCGAGATGCTACGAACTGCCTAGACATGACGATTCGAGACGAAGGACGAAAGGAGGGACCAGAAGACAAAAAGAGAAATACTAGAGATGCGAGAGAGGAAGAACCACAGACACAACGAGAGTCCAGGATAAAGAAATCGCACACCTACTGACCCCACAAATACAACTTACACAACAGAGAACACAGAACTCCGGATGAACTATAACAGAGATCCGGAAGCGACAGATGACGGATGAGTCTGAGAGAGAAGACAACACACAGACGACGAGAAGAGACAGAGCAATAGAACGAGCAAACCACAGCAACGCTACACTTACCACACTCGATTAGACGGCGACGAGAGCCGGAAACGAGCGACAACACACACAAGAACGCGCGAGAGAGAAGAGACAGCAAGAGAGGAGACAGACAGACACAGAGAACCACAGAGAAAGAACACACGATTGGACCGAAACGCGATACGGAAAGATCGAGAGAGCCCGAGAGAGAAGAGACGAGATGAGCGAGAAGAAACCGATGAGTATATGAGAGAGAGAGAGAGCGGAAGCTTTAGATCAGTAGCGAGAGCACGATTCTCAGAAGATGAGAACAAAGGACGGCGAATAATTACGGAGAGAGAGAGAGAGAGAGAGAAGAGAGAGGACAGAGAGAGACAAGAGAGAGAGAGAGAAGAGTGAGAGAGAGAGAGCAGAGAAGAGAGCAGATGAAGAAGGATGACGAGATGAGAGAGAGACGAGAGAGAAAGAGAGAGGAGAGAGAAGAAAATATTTAAGAATATGCAAAAAATCATCGGGCCAAAGATGGACACTATGCAAATCAACTGACAACTATTGGCCAATATAAATTCGTTAACAAATATCAATATTGCAATACGCAAAGGTCTGTGTGTGTATGATATAATTAGACGAAGCGATATACATATAGGAACAATTAGTGGTTCAGTTTCGGCTATATATTGCTCAAGCAATCAAAAACAGATATATGTTGATCATGGGCCATCTTGCACTTGTCATCGTGTGGTAAACGACAGCTATTACTTTAAGTATAAACTCATGGAGAAGGATAAACATTTCTCATGCCTTCATACCTGAAATATAGGATTTCGTTAATCGAAAAGAGCAGTTTTATTGTCTAAACTGGTATATAAAATTCCTCAGACAATACAACAGAAAAGTATCTAAAAGTGCAATCACGAAATTCACAGAAATTTAGAGATATAAACACTGTGAGGTCCACTTTTTACAAATGTAGACCAACATTTCCATTACTCGACACTCTTTTATGAGTTCTACTACTCTGTTCGTTTAGAAATAGAACATTCTTTTTGGCAGATCCATGATTCACATGCATGTATTATGGTAAATAAGGAAAAGCAATTATCCCTCATTTCTTCTCCCCGCCTTTCTGCTTCTATTTGCGTATCCGTTTAAGCATTTCCAACGCTCTTTCTTAACGATTGTTTATAATACGGACGAAATATGTATCATTTTCACTAATCATGAATAATAAAATACACATAAAATTCAGACGTCATTTCTTCTCTTATCTATTTAATTCATTCCTCTTCTTTCTTCTTTTGTCGTTTACGCTCCTGCATGAAAGTAAAAACCACGTATATATTGGACGTAAAAATCATTGTAGAATTAGAGGAAATCCGCAGTTCTCTCTTTTCTCTCATTCTGGCTTTCTCCTTCCCGTCTTCGTTCTCTCTAATCTTTACATACCTTATCTATATCCTTTCTGCTATAATGCTCTTCAACTCTAGTAATTACCTCATCCATCTATCTAGATTCATAATTGCTCTAATCTTCCTGCAGCAAATTTGGATGCTAAAAAACAGATTTAATCAGAAATAATAATGTATTAAATCTATTATCGCCAGTTAAAAAATCATGTCATAATATAGGATTAGCCTATGAATGTATTTTAAACTCAGCTCAGCATTTATAGTTTTTTTTTTTTTTTACTAAATTGCATACTTCGCTTTCTCGGATGTATCCCGACACGTCCGAAAACGAATAATTTAACCTTGATTATTCTTTTTATTAATATTATTAATCAGCTAATAAAACAAGATTAATCATATGGAACACACGTAACTGGAATATGTTAGATAAGAAATAAACAGGAAATCAACTAACAGGTGTTTAAACTACATTTCGGACATCCGATTGTAAATCAATTACATATCAAAGTGCGTATTCGAGATTTTAAATGAGGCTTTGCTAGTTTATGTATGATTTTGTCCTGCGTGTAACTGCGCAAACATGGGTATTCCATTCATATTGAATTGTGCTTAGTTTTATTGTGACTTGTTAGGCCTTGTACGAGGGTTATGTGTGTATGTGTGTGTGTTGTGTGCTTGTGTGTGTGCTGTGTGTGTGTGTGTGTGTGTCAGTGTGTTGTGTAGTGGTGTGTGCTGGTGTAGTGTGTGTGTGTGTCGTAAGGCGCTGTGACGTGCGTGCGGTCGCGTGCGTGCTGTGCGTGTCGCTTACAAATATAAGCCTATACGTAACTATAAATTGTGTGTGTGGAATGTTGAGTGTGCTGGTATCACTTATCTTAGTGTGTTGTTTGTTGTATCTCTGTGTTCGCGTCTCTGCCGTGATATTCACACTATCGTCACCTCTTCATCGAATATTTTTGATGTGAGCTTTGCTTCATCAAATGAAGTTATGAATAATGAAGTTATGATGAGTCTTTTTTATCACACAATGTTATTCGAACATGTAACCTCTTATAGCAAAATAAAATGCTAAGCGGGTTGCGATCTTTATGCCAAGTTGATAGGAAAACTAAAATCTCTTTGTGCTCGATACAGACATTTCTGCTAAGCTAATCGAATTTGATATGGTGGAATATTTAGAATATGAAAATACAATGAATCTAACATGCTACAAAAACAATAACTGCTAATCGATCACCCCTTACGTATGATTACGAAATGATCATAATTCCCTCGCTATTCAGGAGCCTGTTTTACTGAACCAATAATGACCAAACATCCATTGTCATGTCTAACTTCTTTTTACAGCATTAAAGAGTAAATCTCCTTAACCATTCGCTGCTTTATCATTCCGAACGATTCATGTGTCACCGCTATCTCATAGTATCTTCTTAAAGCTCTTTTATTGATCAAGCCCATCCTGCCACTTATCCATCTATAGAATGATGGGAGTACAACTTCGAATTGCCTATAATGACCGCTTTTGGAGAGAACTTGCCATCCTGCGTAAGTCACTAAGACTCACACTGAAAACGTCCAAGCATTTTAGTTCCCTAGCTGAATCATGAAAAGTGAACAACGTCACTGAAGTCGTCACGGATTGTCTGAATACGACCTCGATATTTAGCACTTAAATTGATTTTTTCACGTTCTTTTTTCACGTCACATTAACCTTAAAAATAAATCCAACCTGTCCTTTACTTCAGAGTACTAAAAACTAGCAGTGAAAGGGTGCGATGTTCCTTGGCTTTATCTTCGCAATCGCGCTAATGAATCCTTTTATTAAAACGTCTTGGCAATACCTAAAGAGTTTGGTCAACAGGACAACACCATTAGATCTCTTTGTTCAACACTTTTTTTTGGAGTTAATCTTTTGTCTAGACCAATCAGGGGCAAACTAACCGCCACATTATTAAAGTCATAATGGGAGAGTGGAGTGTGATGGAGGGAGACAATGCACGAACTTTTAAGAAATATCGCGTTTTGCTTTTTAGTTTCTCTCTGCCTTTGATTAAGCGCCGTGGATAATGCCTCCTTTTGCTCTAAGATCTCTGCTTCTCGGGTGAGTGGAAGCAACTTCAGATTGCATCAGCAAATAATTAGTACCCCGTAACCCAAAAACACAACCTCCTTGGCAGAGATGACAATCACAGATTTGCAGAACCATACGTCATTATTGAAGAGGACGTACAACGACGTCCTACGTTATGTTTGATCTTATATGATCGACTCGGGAATCGACTACAATTCACTGAGAAAAGGAGATAAAAAAAATATCTACAACAATGCCTTAATAGAGTCTGGAGAAATTGAGTTCTTAGAGAAGTCAATAATATGTAGTGTTTAATAAGAGCGATAAAACACATTGAAAAAAAATGATTCAGAATACGTTCAACTATATCCAAACACCATGAATAAAAAATCAATCGAATTGTCATTCTTAAATAATAAAAGTTAGCTGCTTAAGGTTGGTATGGGCCGATTCTCACAAGACGCTTAAGGTAAGGCGCGGCTGAAGGCCTGTTATACGTTACGCTTGCTGTGTTTCCTTATAGTTAGACGAAGAGGGTTTGATTTCCCAAGCGCCGCCATGAAGCGCTTCAAAGCTGCTTCTCCCCTTGCCTTTAACCGAACGGCCCTCAACTCGCACCAAGTATAGCGGGTCCCTTGCTCTCGTGCATGTGTATAATATCGCTCTCTCGCCGTAGAGTTAAAGCGCACTGTAATGGAGATACAACGCCTATTCTTATTAACGCGAGTTATTGATCTAAGAATCTGGCCTCATGGAATCGACGTCCATCCAGGACTTGTCACAATGTTAAAATCAGTCGGGTTACGACATCCCCCAAGACGGCACCAAGCTCGTTATTATTTGCGACTACATGCCGGAGCTAAGGACCGTGGAGACAGCATCCCCCTCCCCATAATTTATAAACCTTTATGATAGAATAAAGCTAATGGGTGCTGGGGAAATATGAATCAAACTAAATTAAAAGGCCGAAAAAATATAAATAAATATATTCCGACTTGCCCGGACTGAACATATAGGAAGCCTATTTAACAAAATAGACAAAAAAGGATTAGATAAAGAGACAAAATAAAAAACTAGTGGCCTTTAAGTTAATGGAAAAAAGGAAAAATTAATTTTCAAAAAAAAATCTGGTTAGCAGTAAAAACTTAAGTAATAATTAGAGAGATGATCATACAAATAATAATAATGATGATGGCAATGCAAAAATAATATATACAATTGTAATAATAACTAAAATGATAATAAAAGCAGTAAATATAATAACATTAATACTAATACAAAATAATGAAAACGATAATAGTAATGATAATAATGATCATAATCATGATAATGAAAAGATAATATAAATGATAATAATGATAATAATAATGATATTGGCCGAAAAAAAATAAATGGAATTCACACTGCAAATTGAATGATATGAAAATCCATAAAAATTAAAAACCATTTCCACGTGTGTGACTGTGAGCAATGTGCCTGCGTACATACATGGATGTGCGTGCATGCGTGTATGTTTAAATGTGTACCTGCATGTGTATGTATACATGTGTGTAAAGGGGTGAATGCGTGTGTGTGCTTGCTTCGTGTATGTGCGTGTGTTTGCATGGAGATGTGCGTGCGTATGTGTGAGTGCGTTTCTCTCTCTCTCTCTCTCTCTCCTCTCTCTCTCTCTCTCTCTCTCTCTCTTCTCTCTCTCTCTCTCTCTCTCTCTCTCTCTCTCTCTCTCTCTCTCTCTTATCTGTTTCGCTTTTGTTTTGTGTGTAGGTATGCGTATGAATGTGTGTACTTAAGGTTCTGCAAATCAAAAATGAAGAGAAAAGGGTCCCCGATCCCCCCTACCCCCAAACTTAAGTCAATTAACAGGTGGATACTTTGGAAATAATAATAATGAAAATAATAATAATGCTAATAACAATAATAATAATTATAACAATAGTGATAATGATGATGACAATAATAAGAGTAATGATGATAATAATGATAATAGTAGTGATAACAATAATGATGATATTAATAATAGAGATTATGATAATCATAATAAAAATGATAATGATAAAGAAATAATATTAATAATAATAATGATAATAACAATAATGACAATTATGATGATAAAAATAAGTGTTACTAATAATAATGATGATGATCATAGTAATAATGATGATAGTAATAATAGTAATAATGGTAATAATATTAACAAAATAATAATGATAATGATAATGATCATAATAACAACAATAATAATAATAATAATAGTAATAATAATAACAATAATGATAATAAAGACAAATGATAATAACAATGATAATAATAATAATAAAAATAATAACAAAAATAATGAGAATGATAATAATGATGATAACAGTGATAACAGTAATAGTAATAATAATAAAAATGATAATAATCATAACATAAATAGTAATAATATCATTATCATTAATAATAATACAAATAATGATGATAATAAAAAAAATAATGCTAATAAGTGTTAGCATAATAATAATTTAATAACAAGTAATAATAATCAAATAATGGTATTTCCATATATCTTGAATTTCGCAGAATTGTAGTTACTTAAATTGAGAGAGAGAGAGAGAGAGAGAGAGAGAGAGAGAGAGAGAGAGAGAGAGAGAGAGAGTGAGAGTGAGAGTGAGAGTGAGAGTGAGAGTGAGAGTGGAGAGTGAGAGTGAGAGTGAGAGTGAGAGTGAGAGTGAGAGTGAGTGAGAGTGTGAGTGTGAGTGAGTGAGAGTGAGAGTGAGTGAGTGAGTGAGTGAGAGAGTGAGTGTGAGTGAGTGAGTGAGTGAGTGAGTGAGTGAGTGAGTGATGAGTGTGAGTGTGTGAGTGTGTGAGTGTGTGTGTGTGTGTGTGTGTGTGTGTGTGTGTGTGTGTGTGTGTGTGTGTGTGTGTGTGTGTGTGTGTGTGTGTGGTGTGTGTGTGTGTGTGTAGCGCACGTTGCGCTTTAAGTAATTTTGATACTGTTATTCTCCAGTGTGGTATATTCAAACCCACAGAATTTTCTTGGCTGCCATTTCATCATTTACTACAACTTACAATCTGCCACAAAAGCTGCAAGGCTTGAAAGATTCCAAACCACATCATCCTTTGGTCATGATGGTAAGAAACAGAATATTTACTTATGATTTACACAATTATTTACTCTGCATTATGGTGTAGAATCCGAATTCAGTATTACCAAGGTATTTATCTTTCCATGTAGCATATTGCTTATCTACAACGATCTAATCCACATCTGTTCTGGTTTAGGGTTCATAGGGATAAAGAACTGCTTTACATTTAGGCAATGTGGTGAAACATTAAAATAAACAATTCCTTATCATATTCTTACTTTATCTAACCTATATACAGTAAATGGATAAAAATACCACCTTCATGATTGTATTTCATCACCAAGGACTAAGCTAAGAAAGGATTAATGGAATTAAAGATGTTTATTACTCTAATGACTTTACTTGCTCTGTAGGGACTTTACATGTGGGGTGTACAGTGTTTCAACTTATCACTGAAAAAACTACACTTGCAGACAGATACTCCATAGAGGTCAGCAATCTGGTTAACAACTTATCACATATTTTTTTCTGGTCATTCTTGCATCAGTAATCTGGGAAAACACATTTAGTAAGGGGTGATTTGTCATGACTTATGAACTGTGAAAAGCATATGTCACAGTACATCATTGGGTATTTACTCAGATCAGTGTCAGCACAAATATCACAACTTCCAGATCATTACTATTGTTTTTCTTTTCTATCATGACATTATGAAAATAAATATAGTCTACTGATTCAGGAAAGTAAACTCACTTTCAAGGTTATCACCATTTCCAAAGTATATTGTCCCATTGCACATAAAGTAACCCTGCGAGTTTATAACTACTTTTCTTACAGGTCCCAGTAGTTACATATGTGGAACTGTGAATGCTCTTTTTCATCACTTTGCTCTCAATTTCTTTCCAATACTTCTTTTTTCTGGCAGAGAAACTGGAAATCAATTGGTAACATATGAAACAAAGACATCATATTTTTCCAAGGAATGAATGAATGAGTTGTCACACATGCAGAAAGTTAACTCTTGAAAAAAAAATCACTTCAGATCTTCACATGGTCTTTGAAGTAGTCCACTAAATTAATATTCCTTTATATTAGTTACACACACAAACCTCAAGGTTCAAGCATCTTGGTCATGTAGTTTTCCTTCAGTTTCACCGAGTAAATAGATCACAGATGCCACCTCCCTGTTTACCTGAATAGTAAAACTTTTCAGTCTATTTCCACACACTGGAAGATGTAACTTTACTATGGACAATGGAGATCTTGTATACATTTTGCTCAAGTAATAGGGAATGAGACTATAGGGACAGAAATTCTTCACTTATGCGCTGAATATCAAAACACACACTAATTTTCATCATTAATGAACATGTCTGGCATACAAAGCATTTTGCCATATAAATATAGAGTTGAGGACATGCTTTATTCATCTTCTATAGCTCTCTGGACTAAATCTGAATAATAATATTAGTGAGTCTTGGCAGACACAACTAGATGCTGCCTTTGTTGAATTTACAATATGAACAAAAGGATGGTTGTAATACCTGTAACTTAAAAATCTGTACACTTGTACGAGGCCAGATCTCTAACCTGGCTCATTAAGTCACGCAATGACCAAAGTCAAGTCTGTAGTAAGCAATTCAGTGTGGAATATTTTTCCACCTAAATCACTCTCTGTCCTTACTTTGTTTACTGCGTTTCACTTCATTCAAGAGATTATATACACGAGGCCCTTAATGCATGTGGACATTGTGTTACACTTGTTTAACAAAAACATACTGCCAACAGTCATTTTTGTTCATATCTGTTGCCTGTAATGTCTTTTTCTGAAAATTATGATATCACCATGGCAAATAAATGCTTTGTTTTATCCAGACCAAACTTGCTCTTCGGCAAGATTTGCTTTTTATCACTGTCGATTAAAACAAACCTTTCTGAAGTAGTATTTAAACCACACGCATGTTACGGGTCTCAGGTCACATCCATGCTTGCACCTAGGGCTCTCTGCAAGTCACAGTGAAATAAACCTCTGCTTACACAGTATGTTCATTGTATATATAGCAGCTTCAAATAAACAAAGCACCTCTAAACGACTACCTTACAGAGAGCCACATTCAGTGACAGTAGCTGGACATTGCAAAATGGGAGAGGGGGAACTGTTCATGGTAATACACTCAGTCATACGTCAGACAGTTATTGCTTGGGGTCTGGGCATGATGTTGCCCAAGGGGGGAATGTTCTACAAGAAGCTGTTCTACTACCGTGTGACTTGCGACCAACAGGGACATATGGCGATACAGGGAACAGAACTATAATGGGGGTTCACTGCAACATCTTTTGGCAGTGGGTGCACCAACTGCAGGTGACAGATATAGTACACCAACTGTATATAAAGGAACTTGATGAAACAATGGCAATCTACAGTAACAGTGAGATGGGATTAGGAACTGAATGTATGGAAATGGTTAAGAGAAGACATGAGATTTCTGGTTACTGGCATACCCAACATAGTTCTGACTCCCCAACACAGCAAGGCTAACCTACAGTGGTAATGCAATACACAGGCTTGAGTATGTATCATATGGTAGCATCTTTAACAATGCTTCTACAACAGTGGTCCATTCTATGCAATTCCTACTAACCAAGCCCAATGAACTTACTTTGGAGAAGGGTATACACATTGTTCTGGCTGTCTTAGACATTTGGGACTTTCATGTTACAGTCCCTGTTTTAATGAGTCATTGCAACTGATGTGGTTAGAGACAGGCAACAGATAATTCCATAATTATAATTCAGTTCACTGGTTCATTTAGATTTCAATGTCACAGTAAACCCTGCATTATTTCTTAATTTAATTAGCTAAAAAGGAAGAACCAATTAAAAAATCTAAAATAACACCATTGACAGTGTTCTATGACGCCATGTCATATGTCCTGAAAATCTGTTTTAGAGGTGAAACATTCCTCACATAATTGACATGTTACACTACAAGTTTTTGAACCTTACTGACTGCAGTCCTTTACAAGAACTGAACCCCAAAAACATATTTCAGACAACTACACAATCACATCTCCCATGTCTCACTAGGTTTGGGATGGCTGTTTAAATCTAATTTACACTAGAACACTACACTACCAGGGATCTCATTTCTGTGCTGTCCTAACCCCACTTACTCTACAATATAAATAACAAATAAATAGTGTAAATAATGGAAATAGGTGGGTTTCTTCGAGGTACAAGACTACTGCGTCAGGAAGATGTATTTATATTGATAATGTAACTTTGCCTTCTGCAGTAAGTTTACAAGATAAATTTCTTGTAGACTTGCTACACAAAGGTGATTTTTTTTTATACAAACTTTCATTTAGTTTAACAAGAGAAACAAATTTAAGGGTTTACTGACTGGAGGTGCTAGTAATTGTCATGGAAGAGCTATTTTAAGTCTGAGATCAAATTTAACTGCATTAATTATACTGACAACATGTTAGCTCATAAAGGACTCAAAATATGGCACTTGATAAATGAATTAACTTTAGCTGGTAGTCCCTTTAAGTTATAAGTATGATTCAGTGCCTAGTACTTTTGCTCAACTAAGACTTTTGAAATGTGTTTAGTCTTAAGTTGAACTTAATGTGACGCATGCTTGGACAATATCTACTGGGCTAAGGATGGGGTTCAGGGGGTAGGAAAGCACAGATGGATCTTGGTGACCCATCTAGGAATGGTACACAGTTGGCTGCCCAGCCATCTGTTGCCTTAGGCTACTCTACACTAGGTGAGGCTAGAGGCTCCAGAAGACTCTGCCTGCGCTTCCTGTAGTCCAGTTTCAATCTACACTTTTACTACAGTATGCGATCACATCCTTGTCAAAACCTTCTGTACAAAACAATGTCTGTCCATCACCGAGAACATACACACTTGTGCCTTGACCGACGACAGTGCCTTAGGTAAGACTAGTCTGATATGAAACAATTACTATTAGAAAGTCTAATTCCGTCAGTGCAAAAATAACAAATTCTTCCTTCCTTTCCTACAGGTTTCCCTGCATCATGTACACAAGCCAGTGTTTTTTCTTTGTGTACAGGAGATAATACACCATCTAAATAAAAGATACCAGATAACATAACGGTCATTAACTGACTGTATATCTTGCTTCCTTGCCAGAATCCACTGGCTGGCTTGTTGAGGAAGATGGCAGTAGGAAAAGTGGTGATTTTTATGTAGTTTTTAACCACTGGGAGGTAATGTGTCACTCCATTCACATACCCTACATCACTAGCCTTCTAGAGGAGGCCCTTGCCTCATGTGAGCCTCGTGTAGTAATTGCAGAGGTGGGGGGAGTCCCAGTGAAGTGGGCACATGGGGCATGGAGTGGGACACTGGAGGTGGTGGTGGTGGCTGGGACACAGGACTGGGTGGCACTGGGCTATGAGAGCGGGGCCGGTCCTCCTCCATCCCAGAATAATGACGGTAGTGAGATACAGGAGAAGCTGCAGGGTGTGCCTCGTCTTCACAGTCTCGCTGAGTTTCCATTGGCGTCTCCTCTTCTGTCATCTCCTGCTTGACCAGCTGTGATGGGTAGGAGTCCTCTGGCTCCTCCTCACGCTCACGCTCTCTATGTGAAGGCTCTTCCTCCTCCTCATGACGTGTCATTGCCTCATGGTAGGATACAGGTGGAGATCCGCTCTTCTCCACACTGGAGCTAACACTGAAGGCAGTGTTCAACAGCGGCAGGTTAGAATCTGCCAAGGCAGCCTGTAGGAGGAGAATTTTGTTTATAACCTGATAGTCAAATTTCCTATGAGAATATTGAAAATAATAAAAACAATTCTAGAAGGATTGTACTTAGCAAGCAACCACAGTAATGGGACTAAACAAAGTATCTTCAAGTACAAACCTGCAGGCTAGCATTGAGGGCCTCGCCGTAAAGAGTTGGGCTGCCTGTGAGAGTTGGGCTTTTGCTGGGCACACCCCTGGAAGAAGTAAGTGGTGATTAGATGCAAGTTCACACTCATAATGGCTAACCTGTCAATTCTCAAAAGTTTCCCAGATTTGGACATGAAAATATTGTTGTCATATAATTTTCTAAAATATTATATCAATTGCAAGATTCCAGTGTACTGATAATAAGTATGGACATACAATACTGTATTTCAGTTTCTATAGATCATATTATTTATGATACTGTGGAACACTAAAAAGCAAATATTTGAAAATACATGCACTTTTTTGTAATTTGTAAACAGTAAATATGTAAAATACAACATTATTTACTGCAGCTTACACACTTACCATGCAATACTTACTGTTAAAAAAGTTCTCTTGTTGAAAACAAAATTTAACAAAATAAAAGGCCTGACTGCTTTAATGACCACGTATTTCCTCCTAGTGATACTTCCCTATATTAGGTCTATATATAGAGATAATTGATATTCAACTTACCTTGATAAAAAACGATGAAAACGGCCGCTGTGACTAAGGAAAGTATGTTTTTTTGGCTAAGATAAGCTAAAGTGAAGAGAAATGTCAAGCATAAAGACCATTTGAAAGTGCAGTACACCAAGAAATATTTGAAAACGGGACAACATCTATAGTTTTCAAATGGAGGAGATAAACATTTGATAAAAGCAACAACTTTTATCCGGCATTCCACTAGGGGGGAAAAAAAGCGTAAAAGGAGATGTAAAGAGAAAAGGGCCAAAAGGAGATTGAAAAGATGGAAAAAGAGAATAGTTTCAAAAGTACTTGCAGTTTCTGAAGATGGTACTGGTCCTCTGGTTGTTTTAAGTTGGTAGATGAATATTAATGTCTACTTCTACTTGGGAACACCCAGATGGTTATCATGAGGTGAACTCCCCCTTTTAATTTTTTTACTACACAAATAACAATTTCTAAAACAATGACAACTCTTCTTTGGTTAAAAGATTTCAGACTTTTTGAAATACCTACTGGAAAACACATCTGGGTGTGAGGTACCTTAAAATCTATAATTTTTGGCTCAGTTTTAGGAAAGGGCTTGCAAACAATCAGCAAATTCAAACAAATAGAACAAAACAAAACAAAAAGAACAAGAGAGAGAAACAAACAGCGAGGCAACGACTTAATAGAAATTAAGAATACAAATAAAATCAAATTAAAATGACTGAATTGTTTTCTGAATCCACCCACTTAGGAATTCTGCAAAATTTTGTTTTCTCATATAATCAAATAATAATAAGACAAAAGAAATCAAGAAAAAAGCAAGGCTAATTTTAAGTTGTAAGAAAATTAGTTACGGATGTTAGACAATTTGTTCAAAAAAGAAAAAAAATCCGGGGAGGGGAGGGCACAATAAATAATTTAGCAACCGCTCAAAAAAAAACAAAAACAAAAACAAAAACAAAAAATAAAATAACAGAAAAGAAAAAAGGAAGACAAGAAAATAAACAAATAAAAAATAATAAATAAATAAAAAAAAGCAAAGGGCTTCAAGGGGTCTTGGCACAGGTAAAGTGAGGTAGAAACAGTGTCTCGTGTGGCATAAAGTGTTCTAATCATAATCTCAGGATTTGCTCCATTTCCAGTAATTCCTGCCACTTAACATTTCATGGAATATTGAACACTGTTTCATGCCACACTTCTGAGAGTGAATTTTAATGGAATGAGTGAGTAAATCTTGGACTGGCTGTCCAAGTTTTGATTGTCTTTAAACATGTTTTAGTTGGACTAACTAATCATGAAAGCAATGCCTAGATGCGCAAGTGTCCAAACAGACATGTGTGCATACACACCTGCGTGCGCATCGCGCGGCACACACACACACACACACACACACACACACACACACACACACACACACACACACACACACACACACACACACACACAATACTCATTCAATCACACTCTCTCTCACTCACTCACTCACTCCCCCCTCATCTGCAGAAGTACAGAAATTTATATACACACACAAATGCACACTCACACACACACACACACAAATGCACACACACACACACACACACACACACACACACAACACACACACACACACACACACACACACACACACACACACACACACACAAGTTGCATTCTCTCTCTCTTCAAATATTTAGTGACACTAACTGACTAGTAGCTACTTTCAGCTGTTTATAATTCATGTTCTGGTGACTGGGTGATGAGTAACTGTTGGGAAATTTGTGACAAAAAGAGAGTTCAGGAGGAGAGGGAGTGAGTACGTGTGAGTGATGGATGTAGCGGGTGTGCAGGCGGGCAGGTGGGGATACCTTGGCCATATTAGTAAGAGGTCCCCACCCACCCGCAGCAGATCTGCTGCTGAGCCAGTGAGCGGTGCTTACTGTGGGGGCGGGGGCGGCCCAGACATGGGCGGGAATGCCGCATGGAAGGCCATGGGGTGCCCTTGGGTTGGCGGGAGCCCCGGGTGGAGGGTTTGGTGAGGTGGTGGTGGGGTGTTGGGTTCGTATTTCCGGGGACGGCCGCGGGACAGGTGGCGTCGCTTCACAAACTCTGCGTCGTCTACCATCCAGAACGAGCCAAAGTCGTCCTCATAGCGCACAAAGCACTTGTGCAGCGAGAGGTTGGTGCGGATCGCATTCTGGACCACCAACAACGACATTAGAGAAAAAGAGAGAAAAGTCAAAGCACAAGAAAAACTCTAGAGGAAAAAAGGTGAAAAGCCCACCCACACGCCCATAAAATAAGGCCCCTGGCTGACAGACATACAGAGAGCGCCCTCAGCTCTCTGACTCTACCAAGACACAGGTCCGTTGTCAACTGTGGCGGGAACAATGAGAGCGGAGGGCGCGAGGTTGCCAGGGGGGGCGGGGGCAGGCATGGTGAGGTAGAGGGTGGTGGGCGTGAGGGTAACATACCCGGTGGCGCAGCGTTGTGGTCGCCTCTTGTAAAATTCCACTTCATCCACCGTCCACACGGCGCCCTTGACGTTCTCCACACGCATGAAACATTTGTGAAGGGACAGGTTGTGGCGGACGGCATT